AGATACTAGTGATTCATTTGACACTAATATCAATTCATTGCATTTTATTACTTCAGTTTCAATAGTGACAACTAGATATTTGCTGGTGAATTTTTTATAGGCTATTTATGAGTTATTATTTAATACAGTTGTGACTAGTACATATTTGTTATATACACTCACCGGCCACTTTACAACTGTCCAACTGCTCATTAATGCAAATTTCTAATCAGCCAATCACATGGCAGCAACTCAATGCATTATGGCATGGAGACATGGTCAAGACGATCTGCTGCAGTTAAAACCGAGCATCAAAATGACTTTGAACATGGCATGGTTGTTGTTGCCAAACGGGCTGATCTGAGTATTTCAGAAACTGCTGATCTACTGGGATTTTCATGCACAACCATCTCTAGGGTTTACAGAGAAAGGTAAAAAAAAATATCCAGTGAGCGACAGTTCTGTGGGCGCAAATGCCTTGTTGAAGCCAGAGGTCAGAGGAGAATGGCCAGAAGAGCTGACAGAAAGACAACAGTAACTCAAATAACTACTTGTTACAACCGAGGTAAGCATAAGAGCATCTCTGAATGCACAACACATCTAACCTTGAGCCAGATGGGATACAACAGCAGAACACTACACCGAGTGCCACTCCTGTCAGCTAAGAACAGGAAACTGAGGCTACAATTAGCACAAGCTAACCAAAATTGGACAATAGAAGATTGGAAAAAATGTTGCCTGGTCTGATTAGCCTCGATTTCTGCTGCAACATTCGGATGGTAGGGTCAGAATTTGGTATCAACAATATGAAAGCATGGATCCATCCTGCCTTGTATCAATGGGTTAGGCTGGTGGTGGTGGTGGAGGTGTAATGATGTGGGGAATAAATTCTTCTCATGCTCTGGGCCCATTAGTACCAATGGAGCAAAGCCACAGCCTACCAGGGTATTGTTGCTGACCATGTCCATCCCTTTATGACCACTGTGTGGCCATCTTCTAATGGCTACTTCCAGCAGGATGACACGGCATGTCATAAAACGTGAATCATCTCCGACTGGTTTCTTGAACATGACAATGATTTCAAGATAAAAAAGATACTAGCTTCTAAAATAGATATAGAAAATAAATACTAGTATGTTGTAAAGATTAAATGTAAAGTCTGCTTGCCCTATCAGATATGATTAAAAAATATTCAACTTCTAAAAAAAAAAATTAAATTCCTTCCTTTAGTGTTCTAAAGAAAGGAATTGAGAAATGATAATGGTATTTTAAGGGAATCTTCATTCTGGGGTGAACTAACTCTTTAACAGTTGACATTTAAGAAGTGTTTTTGCCTCATTAAAATCCTGACATTTAATCCTAATTAATTAAGTCTGCTGCAGAACTCCCTTTCAAGGGAGATCCTAGGTTCAATGCAAGGATATGAATATTTTTAGTGGTTAATGAAGTTTTAAAGAAAGTACTGTTCACTCACCGCACAACTCTAAATCACAGTAATCAATGGTAATGTTTCCGCTTGCTGCCTTTATGTAACACCAGGGACCCTCCATATCTCCATCTGGGTTTCTGCAATGGTTCTTCACCAGCTGAACTTGAGGCAGAAGTTCTTTCTTCTTAATCAAGGCTTGTACTTCTGCGGAGCTCCACTGCAGGCAGGTGTGTAGCCCCAGAGTCACAAACAACTCCCCGGTGTAGGTCTCCCCGTTTCCAGGCAGACATTTGCTTATCACATGACGCTGCTCAGGTTTTGCAGTAGGAGCTTTTGGAGGAGGAACAACAGCCTCACCTGAGGAGGAGGAGAGAGAGAGAGAGAGAGAGAGAGAGAGAGAGAGAGAGAGAGAGAGAGATGGTATTCAAATGCAGCTCTTTTGTCCACTTTTCTGTTGGGTGTACCTTTTTGTTCAGTAATTTACATACTTTACAACAAAATAAAAACTCTTTAAGTATGACAGACTAATTTTTTGTTAAAAGTAGAGTAAATGTAAAACCTGTAAAAAGATAATTAAAGGCACTCTGCAGACAATCTTAAAGGGATAGTTCACCAAAAATGATAACTTATTCATGATTTACTGAGCCTCAAAAAAAAAAAAAAGCTGAAAGTCAATGAATGAATAGAGGTCAATGGTTACATATTTCCAGCTTTCTTCAAAATATCTTCTTTTGTGTTTAACAGAATAAAGAAATGTTTAAAACGAGTATAGGGTGAGTCAATGATGTTTGGGGTAAATAATCCCTTTAACTCAAGCCTGGACTGTGCAATAAACACAATGCCCAAACAGGTGATGGTAACAAATGCTATAAATAATACAGTTTTGATTGATTTCAAATTTCTGACTGCCAGTTACTGCACTTTAGTACATTTTGCTGTTATGTTTTAGTAAGTTTTCTCTACCACATTTTGGCACATTGCAGGTCTCCCTCCTGACAGTCGGGTCTCTGGTAAAACACCAAGGGCCATCTTTGTGCTTATCTGGGTTCCTGCAGAAGTTCTCCGGTAGCTTCAGCTGTGTCACATTAAATTCGCTGCGGGGGAAACAAATGGATCATAAGACAGAGGAACATCACTAAAGGCATGTAAAACAAAACAACCTTTTCTTTACTGAAGGCTTTTGTGTTTTCTATTCAATCAATATGAAATGTTTTTCCCCACTGGCCAACACTGGGAGATGACACAGTTAGACACTGTTAAAGGTGGTTCAGTACAATAAAAATACGAGAGTAGTGGTGCATACTCAATCTTGTGGGGAAAGTTGCTTTTCCAGTACTGGCATGCCTTTCCAGACTTGGTGACAGATACTTTACCAGCATACTTTGCTCCAATATTTATGAAACAGTCCCCTATCAATCACACATTAAACAATTTGGGTTATTTTACAATGTAGAAAGGACTCACCTTAACAGAATGTCTCGTTTTGTTACAACAAGCATATTCTGTTACCAAAGTAAGCAAACATGCATCCCACTTACCCTCTGTAGTCGCACATATTCTCAAACTGTTAATATTTTGGGGTGTTCTGGACAGGGTTGTTCCTTCACAGCCTTTGAGCAGATGAAAATGAAACAGAGTAATATTTGACCGACATTACAGAGTTGCCATGTCAGCAGTTTTAAAGTGAAGGTTTGACATTTTACATAAATTATATTGATGCAGATATTAAAATATTTTAGTCTAAGCAATTAAATTCTAATGATTCAACTGTTGTAAATCACAGGTCAGAAGACAGGAGTGGTAATCTATTTCAACGACAAAAAAGTATCTAAAAATTATTTTTTTAGTTGTCAGTATTTTTTAAACACCTAATTTTAATATATTTTATTATTATTATTAATAATAATAATACAAAAATCAAATAACTAAAAAATAGAGCATTTCAAATTGTGGCATCCTAATGTAAGATTATTTTGTTTGTAATCACTCCTCTGTTTTTTTATTTTTTTATATAAATTATGTGTAACTAAATGTATATTTTTATATAAGTAGCATATTTTCAGTTCTGGTAATTTGTTTGATTGTTTAAACACTTGTTTTTAATTTGTATATGGTGCAGAGAAAGGTCAGTAAAAATGCACTTTGTCCCTGGTTCAATAGAAACTGTTTACACAAAATGTTGTCACTGTTTGCACTCAAACTTTCTGTAAGGTGATATATTTTACTTACCTAAATATTTCGCCCAAAAGATTTCCTGCAATTAAATAGAAAAAAGGAAATGTTGAGCATGAAATACTATTAAATCAAACCAAACTGAAATCCTATAAAGACACGTGACTGAAAGAGGTCTAATGAGAGATTTTGTTATTTTAATATATTTTAAATCAGGACTACTGAGCCTATAACAAAAAGTGAAGTACTCACCGTTTTATCAACTCTCTCAAACACTTCTCGAGCTTCCTCATGGTCACAGATCTCTTCCACACACTCTCTCTCCAGATTACCAGGCTTTAACTCCTCAAAAACAGTGTTGGCCCTCTTCGCACGAATAATCTGAGAGGCTTCCTTACTATCGATAAACACTGCAGCACAAACGCAAACAATTCTTAATAAAATATCTAGATGCATTATAATACTTTATAATCCTATCTGTTCTTTATTACAAGGACCTAACAAGAAAAAAAGGCAGATAAACTTTACAGTGTATACAGTCTTACCATTATGACACAGTGTGAGATGGAAAACTTGTCCAAAAATTAAGAAGAGTAGAAGAGGTGCTAGTTTGGCTCCCATCCTTGAGAGTGACTGAGCCTGTAATCCTGAAAAAACCTGAAGCATCTCATGGAATCTGTTGCCTACTCAATCAGAAAGCCCACAGCTGCATTTACTAGAGTCACCAGGTTAATATTGAACTACCAGAGTTCAAAGAGAACAAAGTGTCTGTACTTGTTTTACTCAAAAGCCTCTTCTGTATCAGAACACCATTCAGCTTCAAAATGGAACATTCCTTGCTTTCTGAGCAACATGAATCACAGATATAATTATTTAAAACATGACAATGACAGCTTCATATCTCTAATGATATGTAAACTGATGTGTGAAAACATATTACGCTATTTCTTATGTTTATAATTAAAACAATATGCTTCACAGTACACACAGTGCTTTGCTATTTAAATATAAGATATATTTAATTATTTAAAAGTATTTATCTTATCTATGTAGCTGAAGAACTCTGTAAGTCCTCATGGTATCTTCTTCTTATCCATCCTTTTCATAATAATCATTAGGTACTTTTTGTAAAAAGAACAAACACAGTGTTTCACTTTAATAGTTTAAGTGTGAATGACGCGATCATTTGCTTCAACTTCATCAGATTTTCCTCAAAGAAGAAATAATTTCCCAATGCAGTTGTGTTTTCCTGATGTACTCATACAATGTCTGTATAAACATTGATGAAACAAGGTCCACTGCTCACTGAAGTCAATATTTACTGATATGTGCCGCAAACCCTCCCAAATATCAAAGAACAGCAAGACTTAAATTCAAAAGGGAATCATTTTATTTCCGATTTCTCTTCCTTTTTGTGTGACATAATGTGAATAGATCATATTTTAAATGGAAAATCCTACCATCATACCACTGTCTCAATTTCTACCGTCTCTGCCACTGAACTTAGCCCATCCTGCCCTTGGATTATGACCAAACAACTATTAGCATCTTGCTCTGGGAGTACAATACAGTCACTACTGGCCTCCACTGTGCATTCAGCATTAACTTCCTGTTCTTGAAGGCTTAAACCTTTAGAAGTCTGTTCTTGGACTACTATATTGGTGTTTTCATCAGAAATAAAAATCTCAATAATGTCCTCACTGAGCTCAATCCGATCGAGCTCCTTCTCCGCTCCCTTTCCCAAAACAATCGTGCCATGTTGGTATGTTCCAGAGTCCAAAATGATCCCTTCTGTGTGGGTCACCATAGTGAGGTGGTCTGAGGCTTGAGCGCATGCCACAGCCTGTCCTGCCTCCAAACCGCTGCTCTCAGTCCTACCAGGTTCTTCTTCTTCTTTCTGGCCTAACCTTTTGGGTCTGCCTCTTGTTGGCAGTGCATGTCCAGAGTCTGGCTGGTGCAGCTGCAGATGCCGCTGTAGACTCTGCATCATTGAGTATTTTGCTCCGCACACCTGGCAAACGTGTTGCTTCTCCTCCAGGTGGGACTTTAGGTGGCGTCGTAGCTTGGTTGCCATCGTGTACCCTTTCCCGCATTGCTCACATTTGTAAGGTCTGTCTCCCGTATGGAGCCGTTCATGAGCGCGAAGCGTGTGAGGGTCCCGTAAAGCTTTACCACAGACAGGACAGAGATACACCTCACCCGTGTGTGAAATCAGATGCCGACGCAGTTCGGGTACTTGAGAAAATCTCAGGTCGCAGTGGTCACACCTGTAAGGTTTTTCTCCTGTGTGGATGCGCATGTGTCCTTGCAGATTCCCACGTTGGCGAAAACACTTATTACAGTGCGGGCAGATGTGCGGTCGCTCTCCGGTGTGCAGACGCATGTGGTTCCTCAAAGAACCCGAATTGGCCAGCTCTTTGTCGCACTCTGGACACTTGACCTTTAAAGCCTGGTAGTCTGGCTCTTTTGTCCGATGGATCTCTCGGTGGACTCGTAGCGAGGGCCGACGAGCGAATGCTTTTCCACAGATGTCACAGACAAACGGTTTCTCTCCTGAGTGGAGAACCTGGTGCTCCTTGAGGTCCCGTTTCAAGCCATAGCTTTTGTCACATTGCTCGCACTTAAAGGGCCTCTGGCCACGATGCATTAGCAGGTGGGCTTGGAAGCTCTCATGTGAGCTGTAGGACTTGCCACACTCTGTGCACGTGTATGGCTTCTGATTTTGATGAGTGTATTTGTGTTTCTTCAGATGGCACAGTTGAAAGAAGCTTTTATCACACTCCTCGCATTTGTACTTCCTCTCTCGGATATTGAAGGGAGGGAAATCCTGCCCGTTTTGCTTTGTGCTGGATTCTTCTTTAACTGTCAACGGCTGCATTAAGTCGTCTTTGCTATTCAAGAGCTTTTTCTTGCTGCTTAGATCTGGCTTGTTCTTTGGGTCGTGTCGTTTGTAGATGCGTTTGGCTGATGAGTGCACTTTTCGGGGTTTAGAGGCGAGGCGAGAGCTGGTTCTCAGGCTTCTTTCTGGTGTGAGACATTGTGATGAAGTCTGGGCCTGTGATGCACTCACATTGATGCTCTCAATCTCTTCTGTTGCAGGAAGTTCATCACTATGTTCTGCTTCACTTTCTTCCATCCCATTCTGCTCAAGGACATTGGAATTACAGATTGTATTGTCCTGCACAAGACCTTTTACTGTAACTGGAGATTTTGTATCCTGTTGTGTGACTCTTTGAAGAAGATCTGATAGAAGAAGAAAAAAAAAATCACATTTTCAAATGAACTACTTTATATCAGTGGTGTCAAACTCAATTCCTGGAGGGCCTGCATAGTTTAGCTCCAACCTATGTAGACCAGCTTAATAGTCTCTAGTTGCTTTGAACACCTTGATTAGTTGGATCAGATGTGTTTGATTAGGTTTGAAGCAAAACTGTGCAGAGCTGCGGCCCTCCAGGAATCCAGTTTGAGACCCATGCCTTATATAAGTATGTATGTGATGTAGACTTTATTTTTAGTATTGATTGTGTTCAGCACTTTGGGCAATGTTGTGTTGTAAAAATGTGCTATATAAATAAACTAAATAACTAACTAACTATAATGGACCATTTAAGGCACCAACACACTTCAACATTTTACTGAAAGAACAAACTGACACGGTTTCGGCATTAAAATCAGGACAGCACAAGTTTGATTGGTGTTTGTTTCTGAAATTTGGTAAAATAGCTTGGTAAACACTTTCAAACTATTATTGGTGTTATAAATTCTGCAAAAATCCACACCACTATGATCAGATGCTTTCTCAATAGCCATTTTCTTATTGCTGTAATATTAGCTGTGTCTTAATTATGTTATTGGAGAGGAATAGCATACATTTACATATTTATCTAAACGCTGCTCTCAAGATGAAGTCCAGCAATAACAAGTGTGCTAGCAGTATGCTAAACACTGCAGGCACTATATCTGGCCCTTTAAACAGATATAATGAATATTGTGTATAAACTCACATGGAGAGCCTGAGAAGTGATCTGAAGTGTTGGCCTCCAGAGCTTCATCTTGTTCTCTGTTTTCACATGTTTCTACTTGAGGCGTTTCTTCTTCAGTCACAGCTTCTGGATGACTTTCCCAAAGGAGCAGTTCTGTTCCTGGCTGAATATCCCTACAGACCTTAAGGCCTAGTCTTCCATCCACTTTAAGTACACTGACATTGCTCTCTTCTGCACTCTGAGCACTGCAGGCAAACCTGTGAAAGCAGTTCTACAATGTCATGATGATATCCAGTAATGTAATAAATATACTAATTAATGAATTTTAGATCAACTTACTGCATCCAGCACACTTCATCAGAGATTTCTCTTTTGTACACACTCTGGCTTGCGTTTTGCAACCCCTGAAAAATAACAACACATGTTTTACTTATTACTTGAGGACAATTTACCCATCATCACGGTTAAAAATAGCAATTACTGACACTGTACAACCCAAAAAATTAAGGTAACTCAAACCATTTGAGGAAACCGATTGCAACAAACCATTTTAGTTCAAAAACTAATGCTAAAGAGTACTGTGAACTTAATTCATTTGAGTAAATAAAGCAATTTGAGCACAATAAAACCCAATAAATGAAGAAAACTCAAACCAACTCAGTACTGTAAAACTCAACAAGTTAAGGCAACTCAAACCGTTTGAGGAACCCGATAACTACAAACCATTTGAGTTAAAGAACTAATCTATATGAGTACTGTGGAGTTACTCCATTTAAGTTGAAGTAATGAGGTATTTAATTAACTGATTACCTTCAACACTGAGTTCAAAACTCTTTTCAAATGAGTAGAATTAACTGTCAGTACATGTTGACATGACTACACTCATTTCATTTGATAAAGTTGACTGTTGAGTTTTACAGTGTAGTTAAAACTGCTCTTATGGTGCCACTTGAACATAGTACTGTTTATAATACAATATACCTGCAGGTGAGAAGGAACTGTTATATTAATTGCTATTGTCTTGATGCATGCAAATATGGTGCAGGATATAATCTGAAACACACTTGTATTGATCATACCTCCTCTTTTTCTTTGCTGATTGTTTCTCCAGGCTCCTCCAGACCAAGCAGAGTGTCCTTCTTTAGCACTCGCCCAACACACCACAGACCCAGCTGTTCATCTTCAGCCAGAGATGGACCCACGGTGAGCCCTAGTGGTACTGACCTCAGGGCACTGTGGATGGAGTCTCTCTTGTTCCCAGAGCCTTCATTTCTCCCAGTGACTGTAGACACTAAATAAAACACACCACAGTGTGACAAAGTGGAATACTTTAATTGTCATGAGCTTATTTCATGGTAAAACGACAAGTGAACCACACTTAACAACAAACACTTCTTATTTTTGATCAATTAATATTATTTGGTTGTATAACAGTCATCTTTTCAGAAGTTTATTTCCCTCTATTTCTTTTTTCCAGAATGTCAGAGGATCAAAGGAGGCCGTTACATGTATTATGATCATTCAGTGGTCCACAAAAGAGTTGCCTCTATCCTGAAAGACCCCACGCACCCACAACACAGAATATTCACACTCCTAGCCTCAGGGAGGAGGTATAGGAGTGCGAGATGCAGGACTGCCAAACTCAAGAACTCTTTTTTCCCATCAGCTATCAGACTTTTAAACGGATAACCAGTGGACATAAACAGTTTCATTTTCTGCTCAGTAGCACACTATATTCTCCATCCCAGTTTGCACTATTTATGCATACAATTGCACTCAATCTGCTCCGGCCATCATACTGTTGTTTGCACATAAGCCAATTGCACCAGGCATTTTTTTGCATAATAAACACAATTTTAAGAAATACTATACATTGTTTACATCTGTTTACTACTTCAGAATCAGTGGTATATATTATTTACACTTAGATATTTGTATATATACATTTCATAGTTATACTTCTGTCACTTCTGTGTATATACTGTATGTCGTGTATGTTGTGTGTATGACTTCACTGTGGACGGCAAAGTAAGAATTTCATTGTACAGGGAAACGTGTTTCCTTACTGTGCACATGACAACAAACAAACTGAATTAAATTGAACTAATATTATATTGCGGTTATTGTTTTTATAATGAATTGCATTCAGTCAGATGAATGTTCCCAATACAAACTAATGCATTTATATAACCTTTTAAATGCACACACTTCATTTGTGTAAGCTGCTGTATGATTTTGTTTTACTTTTGTGTTATTATCCTGTGAACAGCTTTATTTAATACTACATGCAGTTCGTAAACTACACAACTATGAGAGAAAAATGAGCTAGCTTATTACAAATAATAAAAGTATTCAATAATGACTATAAATGATAACATTAGCGTGCATTTCACATGTTTCATTAATGAATTAAAGCATTGCGTAATTCACAACGTCCTAAAGATCTCTAGCAAATATTCTATTGCTGTATACCTAGAGATACAGACTGTGCTAAGAACACAGAGCATACATCTCGCTGGTAGATAAGTAATGGTATTTTCTAATATGAGCATGAGAAAAGAACTTCAACTAACTCAGGGCTATATTTCCTCTGCACGTTGGCCACTCGAGGGTCTTGTTTATTCATCCAAAACTCCGGGAAAATTATCGTTTTCCAGCCATGGGCGAATCAACCGGAAGTCAGGTAGAGGACTGTTACAGAGAAACGCTTCCCTCTAGAAACGGTCATATACAGCCGCACTCTATCCAAAACAGCTGGAAGTATGTTCTTGTTGTCGTTTTGAACTTATTTAATAATAATAATAATAATAATAATAATAATAATAATAATAATAATAATAATAATAATAATAATAATAAATATATTTATGACTATATTACACACGCATTTGACTTGTTGGCAAATTGTCGTACACGTTTGGCCCTTCTTTTTAATTTAATTACTGAATCTGAAAAATCGACGCAAGAGCATTAGAATATTCTTTTAATGGATAGCTGACTTTCTTTAAGGTACAACTTATAGATTAAACCTATTATAGAATTGCATGTATTTAGTGTCGTGAGATTTTAATCTGGTTTCCTGTGTGGTGATATGTGTGTATCGTTTTTTCCCACTGGTTTCTATATTTTCTAAGATATATTTCTAAAGTTAGCTCAAAAATTTTGATTTAACCTTCAGACAATATTTCAGAGACTACAAAAAGCCTAAAGGCAAATTGTTGAAGCACAAGGTGGCGCTAGAGACACATCTCTATTCACATAGACGAGGAGCAACAAGGACAAGGTCACCAGGTACAAACAAAGCAAAGTTTTAACGTTATTAGATGATTTCAGATGAAGAAAGAGGACATTTTAAATTATAAAACGCTTTCCACCTGTATTAGAAGTGTTCTCATAGAGTGGCTATTAAATGTGTTTATGATATGGCAAGCCGTTTTGACATTTAACATATCGTATCTGTTTTCATGTTAGTAGTACTTATTTTTTTAAATATTACTATCTTTTTTATTAAGTACTAGTAATTATTCATTAGACAAGAGTGCTTATTTGTTTCATACAAGTGTCTATATTTTTAGATACTAGTGCAGTAGGGGTTCAATCTTCAACTTTATAAAAATATACTAGTGCTCATCAGACACTAGTTCTTTTATTAGATACCAGTATTCATCCATTAGATATTAGTACCTATTAAATAGATACTAGTACTTATGTATTAGGTACTACTACTCATTAATTAGGTACTAGAACTGATTAAGTATTTCATTCATTCATTTTCTTTTTGGCTTAGTCCCTTTAATAATCTGGGGTCGCCACAGCGAAATGAACCGTCAACTTATTCAGCATATATTTTACAAAGTGAATGCCCTTCCAGCTGAAACCCATCTCTGGGAAACATCCATACAGACTCATTCACACTAATACACTACGGACAATTTAGCCTACCCAATTCGCCTATACCACATGTCTTTGGCCTTGTGATGAAAACTGTAGCACTCGAAGGAACCCACGTGAAGGCAGGGAGAACATGCAAAATCCACACAGAAACACCAACTGACCCAGCCGAGACTCGAACCAGCGACCTTCTTTCTGTAAAGGGATCTCCTATTTCCTATTTATTAGATACTAGTGCTTATTTTAATAGTGACTAACTATTCTGTTGTTACTAGTAATAAATGAAAACAATTCCATTAATTTCTATAGGATCTGTCATTGAGAAATCTACTATTCAGTTTTGACGATATATATTCCAGCTGGGACTAGTTTATGTAATAGTAGTTAATCATTAGGAGCTATAGTATCTAATTATTAGATACTAGTACCCAATTAATAGATAACAGTTCTTTTTCATTAGATACTAGTTCACTTTTTACAATTACCCACAGAGTGCAAAAGGACAGCAATAAACATACATTCTTGTTAGATGTAGTTTGATCTTGTATTAAATTAGTATATCACAATAATATCCACGGTTTTATGATAACAAAAAGTAGGTAACATTTTAGTTTAAGTAACATTTTCAACTAATAACTAATAGCTTATTATTACATGATTATTATTAATACATTAGAAGGCTACTTGTTATCTTGTTCTACATCCTTAATCCCACCTATAAACTCAACCACTACATTAATAGCTATTATTAAGCAGCAAATTGGTATTTATTGAGCTAAATGGATGCAATCTGAGCTGCATGCAATGCTTTTTAATGCCTACACCTAAGTCCACCCCTAACCCTACCCCTCAGTGACGCCACCAGCTTCATTGAGTGCATTGTCTGACATTGCATCTCTGAGATTTGCAGTCTCAGGTTGCAAATCCAAGTCTGCATCCAGATAATATTGGCTTAAAATAAAATGTGACCAAAAAGTATGTTTATTCATAATCAGGATCATTATGCAGATTAAAATGCTCGCATGAGACATTGAAGTTATGCAATTTTGCATGCATGTCCAGATGTACAATTAAGAATATATTCCCACATTTAAACATTTTGAAGAAAGTGAATTGACTCTAATAGACTTTTAGGTGATGTCTGCTGTTCTAGTTTGTTGCAAATGTAATGGAAAACCCTAAAAATATATATTGTAACCTATACAATCTAATAAAAAAAGATTTATTATGGTAGTCCAATTTGTCTGAAGACCCCAGTCTGAATACCCTAGTGACAGACGAGTAGCTGCATTGGTCACGAAGGGCCAGCCTGAACACCATTAGGCATTCTCCACAATGGATGTCCAGCGTTCTCCAGCCTCCAGCGCCTAGACTGCAGCTCTGCACAGGAAGTTTGGCCAGAGGAGAAATGGACTGCCCAACTGAGCCTGGTTTTTCTCTAGGTTTTTTCCTTCACTTTTGTCAATTGGTGAAGTTTGCTCTACAAGCTACATTCACTCACACACACACACACACACACACACACACACACACACACACACACACACACACACACACACACACACACACACAATTTAGTTAATCCAAATCACTCATGCTGGATTTTTTAAACTGTGAACTTGAGCACCCAGAAACACAAACATGGGGAGAACATGCACACTCCACACAGAAAAGAAAACTGGCCCAGCTGGGACCCGAACCAGCGACCTTCTTGCTGTGAGGTGACTGTGATAACCACTGAGCCACCATGCCGCCCCATTTATACACTATATACCTTATTAATCTGGGGAACAAAGGACCCTGCACAGGAACATACATTAGCATGAAATCTCATTACAATTTTATATTATTAGTATTTGACATTCTTAAATGATGGATATATAGATCAGGAGCTGTAAAAAGTGGATTGTACTGAACTGATTCAGGCATTTGGAGGCTAAAAAAGTAAATAAAAGTAATTTTAGAGGCAGAACAAGTTATTCCCTTTGATGGAAAAAAAAATTGTTATTGGAAAATTTGTTATTGAAATAATAACGTGCTTTAATGAATCATGCACAATAAACCAGATAGTGAAAATAAAAAAAAATTAAAAGGTAGAAGTCAATTTTAAAAGCAGAACAAGTTATTCTCTTTGATAGAAAAAGTTGTTATTGGTAAAAATAACGTGCTTCAATGAATCATGAATCAAGCGTGCACTACGAAAATAAACAAGGCACATTAGTTTGTGGGTTGTGCAGTCACATGTGCTTGATCATTAAAGGCATTAAAGCAGAACAGCTTATAGTCTTAGAGGACACATCTGGTCCAATCAAATGTCTGAATGCTAATAGCTTCCTGTGTGACTCTGCATTGAAATTCTGTCATCTTGTTTTCTTGAAGATCAGTCTGTTCCTGTTCCTGTTTTTTTTTTGGTTCATTAGTTTTGTTACTTTCCTCTTATCCTCTTAGCTCTCTCCCAGTTATTGATCAGCCAGCCTTGTGTTTGAGACTTGCAAATGTCGTGTCTGTTAGTAACGAGTGGATTGTTGAGCATGAGGAGATGCTCTGAATTGATCTTTCTGAACATGATGCTGTTAGGCAGTCGCTCCTCTCTGAATTACCAACCAGCGGTTGTGTTGAATGCAGAGCGGTTCTCCATCACTCAGCCTTTCCCCATCACCCTGGCAACGTGAAGCAGTCCAGCCCAGGAGAGGCACAGAGGGCAAATTGGATACGACACACACTCACACAGACACACACAGATAGACATGTCTATGAATTATGAAACATGTAGCAGGCTTACCTTCAGTCGATTTATGGCGACACAGAAACATCCTCATAAAGCATCGCTAGCAGTTTCTGAACTCTAATCAGAGTTCATTATTGTCTATAGGGAAGTGCAACTGTTGTGAATGAAGGTTGTGATTGATTTTAAAACAGCATCCTTCTCTCCATCAAACTGATGACTGATGTCTGTTTACTGAAAAAGTCCTTCACTACTCTATGATTGGTGGTTTTTATGGAAGTTTGTTTATTATATTATAAGATAGAAGCTCTCACCGGCCTTATACTTTTCTTTTTTTAAAAATCAAATCAGCATATGAAGTGCTGTAAATTACATTATAGCTACATTGTAAATACATTGTAAATAAAAAAAATCCATAACCAGTACTGCTGAAAAACGGGACAGCCTCTTTTATTCTCTCTAAAGTGCCTGATGGAGACAGATTTATCCCATTTGGAAAACAGTAATTGATTATTAATTATAACTCATTCAAGAGTACTAGGCCGACACAGTGGCGCAGTAGGTAGTGCTGTCACCTTACAGCAAGAAGGTCGCTGGATCGCTGGTTTGAACCTCGGCTAAGTTGGCGTTTCTGTATGGAGTTTGCATGTTCTGCGGTCGCGTGGGTTTCCTCCGGGTGCTCCGGTTTTCCCCACAGTCTAAAGACATGTGGTATAGGTGATCGGTAGTCTAAATTGTCCCCCTAGGGTTTAAGTGTGTGTGTGTGTGTGTGTGTGTGTGTGTGTGTGTGTGTGTGTGTGTGTGTGTGTGTGTGTGTGTGTGTGTGAGAGAGTGAATGAGTGTGTGTACATTCGCTGCATAAAAATGTGCTGGATAAGTTGGCGGTTCATTACGCTGTGGCGACCCCGGATTGATAAAGGGACTAAGCCGAAAAGAAAATGAATGAATGAACAAGAGTACTAGTAATAGTGTAGAGTAGCTAAACACAGAC